TGATTTCTTTTGTGATGCGTTTTGCTTCAGTTTTAATGGAGTTTTCAGCAGTATTTGCCTCGACATTTCCTTCCTGCAAAACAATAACTTTATACAATATTTACGTAGTGTGATTTTTTTTTTTATTTTATTCATTGGTGATTACTCCTAGCAAAAGATATATCAATAAAAGTGCTTGATTAGAACATACCTTAAACATCACAGTGACTGTGAGGATGCCATCTAAAGACATGACAGAAGTGATTTTAGTAAACTGTGGAAGAGAGAAGCGGCGTCTGAAGGAGTGAGAGGTTTCGGATGAGGTTCCTTCTTCCTTCTTCACCACAAGTCCCTCGATGACCAACTCCTTCTCATCAACGACCTTCGCTTGTACATCTCCACTCATGAAATCATGAACGTCCATAATTATCTGGAAATAATAGGTAGCTTTTTTATACCTACTTTTGAATGTTATTTGGGGAATCGTGGTAGTAATTTATTTAGTAATAATATTGATATTACTCAAAATGACACAAAAGTAACAATGACAATAAACTAACCTTCATACAAGACTTGTCTGATGTGACGATAGCGGCCTGATTCTCTTCCCTCAGATCGCGAGACCGAAGCTGCCTGTAGCGTTCCAGGATATCGGTGTGACGGAGGTCAGTGTCGTCCTCAAAGTTGACTTGATTGCACCTGCCCAACACCTGCCTGAGAGCGGCACTGAAGTCTCGGTGAGCGTCGAGGAAGAATGAGTCTTGGAAGAAGTTTCCTCTTTTGGTGATGAGCAAGAGTTCTTCTGGCGAATCTCTCTGAATCCTCCTTGTTCCTTTCAAGGATTCGATAGCTTCTGCAGACTCTTCTGCAATTGTCGTGGATGAAGTATTTGTGTCTGTTGGCTGGATTCTTTGGTTTCAGTCGTTTCTTCTAGGTTCAGCTGCCCGACACTATCGACGGCTTCCTCTTCATGGGTACAATCTCTGGATAACTGAAGGGAATTTGTGCAACTCTCAATGGCTGCCGACTGAGTCCTTTTGCTGTCGAGTGTTTCCTCAGGGATTGTTTGGTGATTAAAGTTCTCTTGAACTGCTGACTCGTTCTCATACTTATTTTGCCAAGAAAATTGTGCAAGTTCCTCGTCAATAGTATTGGACCTTTCTTGCACAGACACGGCATCATCAGTAACATCGAAGATGGTTGCACAGATATCTGACTGACACATTCTGTGCCTCAGCAACAGTTTCGTGTGAGTCTTCCCCATCAAGAATGTCAACAGATTCCTGGGAATCTTGGAGATCAAGAATTTCAACAGATGAGCCTTTCACTTCAAGAATATCAACAGATCCCTGTGAATCTTTCATCAGAATGTCAATATCTTCCTGCGACTCTGTAAGATCAAGAATTTCAATAGCTTCTGAGCCTTTCACTTCAACAATGTCAGAAGATTCCTGTGAGTTTTTCAGATCCTGAATATCAATAGCCTGCTGAGAGTCTTCAAGATGAAGGACTTCTGCAGTTTCGGAATCGTTTTCATCTTCGGGGATGACAGACAGAAGAGAATCCTGGGAGGAAGTTCCAAAGTCACGAGAGGCAGACAAATTGCCAGACGTTTCAGTCATGGCGATCGAACTTCGGCGACACAGGAAGCATCTGAAATTCTGCAAACTCGGAGCAAGACTGCATTTCATCAGACAAAAGTTGAAGAATCAGCCAGCCCTTTTGCAGGTACAATAGATTCTTTGTTGTCAATAGTTTCTTTGCTTTGATTTTCACTTTCTACAAAGTCGAAATCAGTATCATGACTCGATGTTGCTGCAGAATCAGTCAACAGGACTTCTCGTGCTGTCTCAGATTCCACCGAGTGACTCATTTCTTCAGATGAGATCGGAATCTTTACATCTTCAATGCTCGTATCTTCTGCCACAGAGTCCATGCAGTCATGTGTGGCTTTGCTTTCTTTTTCACATTCCTCATGGAGGGAGATGGTTTCATCAGCTGGGAATAGCGAGCGTTGAACTTGAGAGGATTTTTGAACTTCCTCAACAGACCTGATCACTTTGTGTTCCTCCGGTTCTTCTGCCTGTTAAACAATTTAAATATTAGCTTAAAAATTATACTTGATCTTATAAACAGAAACACGAGTGTGTGTGAGTGCGTACGTGAGTATGTGTGTCAGGGAAAGAGGGTGCTTGTGAGTGTCTGCGATGTGCACGTTTTTATTTGTAACATCTTTTTGTATTCTTAGTAACTGACATTTTCATCTTTGTAACATATAGCATAAGTAATTGTTATCTCCAGATAATCCTTACATACCATTTTTGAAGCGCTGATTGTAAGAATGCCATCTGAAGACATGATGCACGTGATGGCTGTCATGTCAATATGCTCTGGCAAGGAGAAGCGGCGTCGGAAGGAGTAGGAGGACACGGATGAGCTTCCTTCTTCTCTCCTCTCCACACGACCCTCCACCACCACCTCCGTCTCGCCCGCCACCTTCACCTTCAGATCCCCGTTCATGAAGTCTTGGACGTCCAACACGATCTATGAAAATTTATGTATATTAAACAATAGCCATAATGCTTACATCTGGGTATCATATTTGAATCAATAAATGTTCACATGAAGAACCCACATGTAAACAGTTGCAGGTAGATTGAAAAAAATATTGGGATTTAATTGATCTTCAAAAGGCGTTTAAACAAATTGTATTAGTAAGAGTGATTCTTGAACTTACCTTGTAACTAGTGTTGTCGGACGTGACGATAAAGACTTGGGTCTCTTCCTTCAATTCGGGATCGAAGCTGTCTGTAGCGGTCCAGGATATCGCTGTGACTAAGGCCAAGGAAGTCCTCACTGTGTGTCACTTCGCTGTCTTCGCTGACCCACTTCCTCAGGACCTCTCTGATGGCAGCGTCGAATTCTTGGCGGACATCGAGGAAGAAGGAGTCCTGGACGAAGCTTCCCCTTCGAACGATGGGCAAGATTTCCTCGCCCAGTTTGATGGCTTCAGTCGAATCAGATTCTGATTGCACAGTTGCTTGTTCCTGTTGTTCAGAAACTGAATCATCATAAGAGGCTTTTTCAACGACTGTCGATTCAAGAGTTTCAGCCAATCGCATGAGTTCATGATCCTGAATATTGGCAACGTCTCCACGAACAGAAGCAGTTGTAGACTCATCCACAGACGGATTTTGGCAGATCTTGGACTTCAAAACTTCCTTGGATTCAGCAGGAAATTCGAATTCTTTCTTCAGCTTTCTCGTCTTGTTCTCGTAAGTGTTTTCGTTCACCCAAACTCCATCTGATCCACATTAACAAGATTCTCGTGAACAGAGATATTTTTCTCCGTCGTGGACGAAACTGCTTCGGGTGTTGAGTCTTGAGCTGTTGATGATTCCTTCCTTTCCTCGGTCGCGGAGAAGTTAACGAGTGAGTTTTGCTGTGGTTCTCCTGCCTGAATGAGACAAGAACAGGGTCATGTAGAGATTTAATATAATGTTACATGCAGTGTGATTAACATTTCAGGTCTATATTTTTTAAAGCATGATTGTGTAATGTAAACATATTGGGTTTATTAAGTTCTCTTAACATGAAAAGTAAGTTATTTACCGTTTTGAGAGCAGTTATTGTGAGGATGCCATCCGAAGACATGACAGAAGTGATGCGTGTCATGTCAGTGCTGTGAGGCAGGGCAAAGCGGCGTCTGAAGGACCGTGTCGAGACGGACGACCCTCCTTCCTCCTCCTCGCGCGCCCTTCCACCACCAGCTCCTCGTCGACGACTTTCACCTTGACGTCTCCGCGCATGAAGTCATGCACGTCCAGCACGATCTATGAGATTGAAATTGAATTGAATTTGCTTTTTTTTTTAAGTTAATGAAAATATGGTCAAAATATAGTGATAGGACTGATGATTATCAATAATAACAATGTTGAAAGTGACAACAATGATAATAACACTAACAATGAAAATAATGGCATTGATAATGATATGAATATTGATAATTGCAATAATGATAGTAATGATAATGAAAGCAATAATGGTGATAATGAGAAAAAAAAGAAAGAACAAGCAGAATGAATCGGATAATGATGAAGCCCATAATAGTATGTGAAGATATTCTGCGACCCTCAGTGAAGTTGTGCATATCAAGTATAGATAATCGTGTACCAAGAGAAAAACATCAAATACTTTGTAATCAATGAAAATATCTTGAATACTTTAGGCAATGCCGAGTGCTGATACACAGAGGGGGACTGACCTTGAGGCTGGCACTGTCTGACGAGACGCAGAAGGCCTGGTTCTCTTCCCTCATGTTTCGAGATCGAAGCTGCCTGTAGCGGCTCAGGATGTCACTGTGACTGACATCGCCTGTCAGCGTGAGGTCGGAGTCGTCGCATTTCTTCAAGATTTCCCTGACGGAGGCGTCGAAGTCTCGGCGAATGTCGGAGAAGAACGAGTCTTGCAAGAAGCTTCCTCTCCTCGCGATGGCCAAGGAATCGTCTTGCGAACTGCCAAGAGTTTCCTTTGCTTCCAGCGAGTCGGAAATTCTTGTGGAAGCAAAATCTGAGATCACAGACGACTGCTTCTGTGATGATTTTGGGTGTTGCTTGAGATACTGGAAGCTGCAGTTTGGGTCTTGTTCTCGTCGATCTTCTCCTGATGGCATCGTGGATTTGCGTTCCTCCTGTTGGGCTGTGTGGGACGTTCTCTGGCCAGACGACGCTTCCTCAGAAACTCCCGAGGTCGTCGAGGAAGTTGAGCTGTGAACTTCTGCATTGTGCGTTTCCTTGACGCTAATGGGGATGACAGTCGTCTTCTGTTGTGTTTCAGTCTCCTGTTGGTTAGGATGGCGTATTTACCATGCGAATGCCTTCTACATTTTAATGAAGTCAGTTTTTATAACATCAGAAAAGCGTTGATATAGTAAAGAGGAGCTAGGACAATACCTTCTTGGTCACAGTGATTGTGAGGATGCCATCTGACGACATGACAGCGTGATGGATGTCATGTCAGTG